GTGAAGGTGGCCCCAGGGGCAGAGCTGCCCAGTCCCACCCTCAGACACAGTCCTGGGTTGGGGTTTAGATGGAAGGCATCTGGGTAGGGGTGCACTACCTGGGCCCACCTTTGCCAGAGCATGGCATTGGGTTTCCCATGTCCTCATCGGCCTGAGACTTAGAGTAGATCAGGGGAAAAACTGAGTGTCTGGGGTGGGGGGAGTGAAGGCAGAGGCTTGGGAGTTCATCTCAGACGTGTCCGACCTGTGGTTTGTGTTCCCCAAATAGGCTCTGTCTCCGGCAGGCTCCCTATGGGGACAGGGGGTGAGGTCCATGGCAGTTTTGAGAATTGTTTTGATGGCCCTGCCTCTTTATCATTTTCCTTCTTTATTTCTCCTCCATGCCCCCTGCCAGTGCCTGGTTCCTGCTGTAGTCCTCTTGTGAGGCTCCCGGCTGCCCGTTCCTCCTCTCTCCAGGCCCTTCTGCGTGCAGCGGCCATCTTGTCTTTCTTGTTCAGAAAGTTAAAATGGTTTCTCATCGTTCCCAGAATAAAATTCCTTCCCTCTAGCATGATGTTCAAGTCTGTCTGTAACTGGCCTTAGCGTTCCAGTACTGTCTTACCTCTCTTACTTTCCCTAGGTGGACCACTCATTCCAACAAAACCAGGCAACTTTCTTTTTCTTGCTTTTCCTATCGGTTTTCACCAGTGATGTTTTCCATGCATCCACCTGTGGCAGGCCCACCTTCTCCATAGTCCTCTCCTGTTTTCTCTTGCAAGAAGCAGCCCTCATAACTCCCCCCCCCCCCCCCCCCCCCCCTCCCCCCCCCCCCCCCACCCTTTCGGCCAAACTCCCGTACACCTTGTCCCTCTTTTATGGTGCTTTTGTTGTTACGATTTTTTCGGGTATAGGTCTCATGTCACCTATTAGATTAGGAGCTCCAAGAGGGAGGCTACAGAAGGAAGGAGAAAAACAAATACTTATTTGGTGCCTTCTGTTTGCCAGACAACACATTAGGCTTTTTTCTGAAAGCTAATTTTTTCTTACTATAGTCTTGTGAGGATCGTCCCATGGCTGGTAAGTGGCTTGGTCATGATTAGAGCCCTGGTCTTCCAAAGCCTTTGCATTTTTTTCTAAGTTCTCAGTTTTTACAAGATGCCTATTATGAGATAGATTCCCAAAATGTGTCTATTTAAGGAATTTTGTAAGTCTCTAATGCTCTGTGGGAATTTGGGTAGCCAATCTGGTGTCCATGGTCTGGGTCACTTATCTGTTTCATGCCTATCTCATTAACTTTCTCCTCTTTCTTTGCGGCCAGGTTCACTCAAGATGATACCTTTTTTTGTAGCTGAAATGAATAGATTAACAGACTTAGTTACTCTGGCTGCCTTCCTTCTGGAAGAGGAGGCAGAGGTGGGGTGGGTTGTAGCATCTTCAAAGCCAGAACGGGCTCCAGACTTTAGAGGGCAGAGAGCAGAGCCACAGGACTCAGACAGACCTAGGTTTGCATCTTGATACTGCCTCTTCTTAGCTAGGTGATTTTAGACAAGTCATATGATTTTTCTAAGTTTTTGTGTCCTCGGTCAGTGAGATGGAGCCACTATAACTGTTTTACAGAAATGCCTAATAATATTGCCAGCAAATAGATTCCCACTAGATACTGATGTGGCTCTCTTCCCCTGGCCAGTGATTTATCAAGAACTTAAAAAGGGAGTGTAGCAGGGGCCTAGAGAAGAGATGGAGGAGGAGGGAACACTTGTGCCCTCAGTGTCATGATCAGGAGCAGGGAGGAGGTAACCTGGGCAGTACACACCTCAAGCCTATGAGGTAGTGCCTGTCCTCCACCTGGTATAAATACCCCTTCTGCATCAGGAACATGCTGTGGGCACGGAGTGGTGAGGACTAGTGGTGGCAGAGGGAGGGTTAACCAGTGAGCCTTCCTGGAGCCTTTTGATGCCAGGTTAGTTTCCCTTTCCGAATCTCAGCAGTAACCGCCTGCTTCCTGACGCTGTTGAGTCCTGTGGGAGGGAAATTGGGCACCCTGAAGCCCCTTGTCACCAATTCTGGGGCTACAGAGTAGAGAGTGACGACAGCCAGTGAGTCGTCAGTAGATGGCAATGGGGACCCTGGTGACGGCTGCTTTGTTGTTTTTTTCCTCTTTGGAAGATGACTCAGTGTATCGGGAGCCGGGAGATGGAGCTCTCAGCTGAGTGGCCAGGATGTTCTGTCAACATGAAAGCAGCAATAACAGCTTGGGGCTCTGAGCCGATCCTCAGCCCGGGGTCATTTTCAGGGAGGGCTGGGGCAGAGAAGACCACTGCTGGGCATCAGGATGGGGGCGACACCGGGTAACTCAACAGGGTTCTGTGAACCCTTGAATTTAAAGTCTGAAAAAAAATAACAGCTGTTTGTGTTACTAGATGAGCTTGGCAAACAGGGTCACTTTTTGGGCTCTTTTCACTGGTCCCTGATGACATCTTCCCAGCGCCAGAAAACCCTTTAAGGTTTCTCATCATAGCTCTGTCTGTGATAGCCTTGGTGGTCATTGCTCTGAATAGAGAGGCTGACTTCAGTGAATGCTGACACTCCTGGACCCCGGGAACAAGTGACCATCATGGGGATGTGGCGTTTTAAGAGTCCTCTGCCAGGTGTCGCATGAAGATGGTGCATCCACATCACCGGCCATAAGCTAAAGGCCAGCTCTTGGGCATCCCGTGTTAGTCTCCTCTTTCATTATTGACCCAAGTGAAAGCTTTTCTTTGCTCCTTCATCTTCCTCATTTCCTTCTTAGGTGAAATGATGGACCTTGAGTTTTTGACCCTTTTTATTTTTATTTTTTATTTTTTGCGTCATCATGGCGGCTCAGGGTTCCAGGGTTTTCTTGATTCTGCAGTCCTGCGCCACCAGCGCGTGATCCCCCTGCGCCCCGCCCAGCTCCGCCCCGCCTTCTTGGGATCGAGGGAGAAGATGCGCCTCCACTGCCACTGAATCCCGGCCAGTCCATCATCCTCTCTCCTCCACCCCCTCAGCTGGAGTCTGGGACAGAAGAGCAAACAGTTGTATGTGGGGATGAGGGGCAACCTGGCCAGAGCTCCCTCCCTGCTTTCCCTATGTACCATTTTTCAGTTTCATGCTTTCCTGTGGATGATGGTAGCTTTGATATTTGTCGATGAGTACCTCCTCCTCTCACCCAAGGACCTCCCAGGGTGACTCATTTGGGATCTCTGGGAGGAGTGGCTCCTGGGTCTTGAGAGGCAAAGAGGGCAGGGAGACATGACCCAGGACACAACAGAGTTAAGGAGACAGGGGATGAGAGCCAGTCGTCTCCACCCAGAGTGCAAAGGCGGACACAACTCCTTCACGTCATGTCTTTTTGAGCCTGGATAGAGAGCAACTTGACCTAAAAAGATTGTACATATGTGGGTGTTGGAACCTTTTGTGTCTCATATTTCTTTGTCCTGAGCAGTGCATATGATGAGAGCCTGGATTCCAGGCTTCAGACAGCCATTATCACTCAGGTTCATTTTCTGAAAGAGGTGGTGGACTGGCCCTTTTTGATCGGACTCCATTCCCTCTGGTGCCGGCCTTTCTCCAGGAAGACGAGCTCACATCATTTTGCCCAGTGTTGTCTTGCTTCTGTCATTGGATGGCAGACAATAACTGACAGTCATGGTCCTGGGGCCACATAGGAACCCATATGGGACTGCATTTGAGGTCTGCGCAATTCATTGCTTGGTTGGCTCTGTCAGCTGAGCCCACCTGTCTTCCTTTTCTCATCTTCCCCACAGAGCACTCAGGAGAGTGAAGCTTGCTCCGTGAGTGGGTGACAACCTCTTGGCAATTCAGGCTTAGCTGAGGATGGTGCCAGTGTGTTGAAGACAGCCGTCACACTGCTGGATAGAGTGGCTCACTTGCATTTATTTGGAACAAAAAAAGGAGATGCCTGGCAGTCCTGCTCTCTGCAGTAAGTATCTATCTGCATTCTTTTACATTCTTTTATTTCTTCGGACATCAGAAGTAGATGGATGTTTATTGAGCCCAGCCACCTGCTATGCCTTCTCCATTCTTCTCCTGCACACCCGCCTTAGTCTCCAGAAAGGAGGACTGGATTGATTTTCTAAATGTTACTGAATAGCTGCAGAGAGGCTAGAATTCAGTGTTCAGCCCCCACACATCCCTCTCACTTTTGGGAGATGTTGATTTTCCCTAAAACAGAGCCAACAGCCTGTGTCCCTCAGTGCAGAGTGTTAATGGGCCGCCTGGAAGGATCCTGTGTGCCCTCACTGGACCCAGCCAGGAAGTGACTCTCCCCATTGGTTGGCAGTGGGAGGATGGTTTTTGCCAGCACCTAGCATGGTTCTCTGCCAAGTTCTAGCTCCACATCTCTAGGCTGGTAGGAACCTAGACTATATATAGCATTGTGCTAAGCAGTTCTTATCAGATGTGTCTGCCCTCCCCTGTGGGAGAGGAGCACTTCTGTCAGAGAACCGGAACCTAGAGAGCACGAGCCATCTCCAAGGACCTTTTATTCTGGGAAGGGGTGTGTTGTGTGTATGTGTCTGGTTCAGGGCTACTTACTTTCCTCTATTTTGGATGCTGATAGATTCAAAGGTCATGCTGGATAAGGGTGCTAATGTGGGATGAGGGCCAGGAGGGGCTGATATCTATTTCTGATGGATATTGGGCTAAGAGGGAGAGAGGCTAGGGCCACGTGATGTGGCTGAAGGCACAGTTGTGCCCTGTGTCATAGATCAACCTCCAGTTTCTCTTCCTAGTTTCCTGTTTGCTTTGCTTTGCCCAAGGATGTCTTTTGACCTCTCTCTTCCTTCTTTTGGACTTCTTGCATTCCCTGACTTCCTCTACCACCTCCTCCTCCTTCCTTTGATTTTCTTTAGGATGTATGAGGGCCGACTCAGCTACTGGCATCAGGGAGCTGTGTGCGCACTCTCCACACTTACCCTGTTCAGGGTTTCTGGAGCTCTGGCTGCAATCAGACAGAAGAGGACTCAGCAGTCCTCAGGAGGAGTTTTGGTGGTTGAATGAGCTGTTGTGCTGGGTGGTTCAAGGCAGGGTGGGTTGGACATCCCCCTCTTTCCTCTCACAGGTGCTGTGGAGCCGCCAGTTTGTGTGGTTTCATGGGACCACAAATGCTGATTGATGTGACACGATTCCAGTTTTGTCAGTGAGTCATCACCAGGCTGCTTACTGGGAACCAGATGCAGCAAGGAAAGTAGGATTTAACCCCTTCCCTGCCCCCCAGGTAAGTTAGTATGGGCTGTTCCCTCTGGCCTTCCCCCAGCCTCCTTCTCTTCCTACGAAGACCATCCTCCTTATTCAGTGGGTGAATCCTCAAACCCATTCAGAATCTGCCAAACAGTCACTCTCTTCTTTTTAGCTCCTACTTCTGACTTTTCTGTGAATGGGGTTAGTAACCAGCAGAGGGCTGGGGGCAACTGAGGTGGTCAGGCTGCAAGACCATGTGGGAGATATCTGGTTAGCATTGCTGGGAATCCAGCTGGCAGAGCACTTGGGCCTCCCACAGCAAGAACATAGACATCTCCTTGGCCCTCAGCTCCTAACATGAAGTTCTGGTTTAACCCTTCAGTGGTCCTAGGAGCCTACCTGGAGTTTGAGTATTCTCTTCCCTATGTAGTCTCAGCAGATGTTCTACCTTATGCAAGACACCTTTAACCTTCATGAGGCTTAGTCTAAGTCAATGGTCTGGAGTTTAGACTAGGTTGAGCAGTGGGTTTTGGGGCTTTTTCCTTACTTTGGGGATATCTTCGGGGTTACTTTCTTTTGGGGTTTCTTTTGAGTCACTTTCTTCCGCTAGGTCCTCATCACCTTCACCTTAGGGGAAAACAAACGAACAAACAAAAACTCTGGTCCAGTAAGCCTTTGCAAAGTGTCTCTAGGCAGTTGACGTAGAAATACTTTTTTCTGCTTTACTTGTTGCTGATCACAATAATAGTAATGGTGATTAAAAATGACGACAGCCTACAGAACTGGGGAGGTCTGTCATGTTATAGATACAATTCAGAAAGCAGACTGTCAGTGCCTGTACATCACCAGGAAGTCTCTCTCCTATCGAGTAGAGCACTGCAGTGTTCTTGGCCAGTAGAGCCTGTTGGAAGTAGCTGACAGCAGATTTGTCTGGGGTCTAAAGATAAAAGGAATGGTGCTGGGTAGCTATGGGATCTCCCATCCGGCCACACAGCAGTCGTCCCTCTCTGCTCATGTCTCAGGGGCCACAGGTGTTGTCTCTTCTTTCCTGTGCAGCTCCTGTCTTTAGCCAGGGAAGACTAGCCAGTTCTGCCTTGCAGTGTCTCGTCTTCCCTTCCCATTCAAGGTGAATCTCTGAGTTGATTGTGAACAGCCATATGAGAGCTCCAGGGCTGTTTGGAGGAGTTTGGTGTCTCTTCTTTCAAGGAAACTGACGAGGACAAATCGCAGCCAGCCAGGAATGGTAGAGGGTGTTGGAGTGGACACGAATAAAGGAGAGAGACCAAGCTGGGTATAGTTGGGGAGATGACGAGGAGCCAGCCAACTCCCTCAAGATGTGTCAGCTAGAGTCTGGCCAGTGCTGGCTGGCTCTAGGACTGGAGCTAGACATAGCTGCCAGCCACACATGGGAGTTTCGGCTCTCACGTGTGAGCTGCATCCCAGGGTGTGTCTCTACGTGGCCTCTGCTTCCATTCACAGCCCTGTCCTTGACTACGTTGGGAAAATCAGAGCGGGAAGTGACAGGGAAATTGGTTTTGCTCCTGGTTGCACAGTTCTCTGTGGCCTCTGGCGTTTCCAGAATTGGGGTTGGTGCTTCCCTGCTGATTTTCCTATTTCTGTCCCTCACCTAGTTCTTTCCCCCTTGCTCACCAGCCTGGCTTCTACTGACATGACATGGGGCATTGTGTGTTGCCAGTCAGGCCAGCAGAACAGTTGACATCTCTGGGGGGGGGGGGCAGCATATCTGACACTTTTTTCTTGACCTTTGAATTTCTGAGGTCTGGGAGCCAGGAGGCAGCATGGGGCCTTTCCATCGGAGATCCAGCAGAGGTTAAAGGAGCTGGTGGCTCTGGAGCCGAGGTGGTGTGGTTTGGCTGGGATTCATGGGGGAGGGGCCCAGCCGGGGGCCCTGATTGGTCAGCACCTTCTCTATTCCATTGAATCCTGGTCCGGTCAGCGCTGTGAATTGTTTAATGCATATCTTGGCTCTGTCCCCTGGCTTGAGTGCTCCTGAGTCTGCAGCCACAGCTTTAGAGAGAATCTGTACCTTGTGCTGGTCACTTTTTTTGGGGCATGTTGCCTTCCTCTGAGATATGTAAGAGATACCGCCCTTTTCTACTAGCCGGCTGTCTGTGGGAGGCCCTCATTTTGCTTTGCTTTTCTGGGACTTGGAGTGGCTGTGAAGAAAGCAGAGACTGGGTTTGGTTTCTTGCTGGCTCCTTCCACAGGAGCTGCTCATGTGCTCATAAAGCCAGAGAACACCTCCAGGGCCCTACAGCCTACACAGAGCCGCCGGGTGCCGTAGTTTCGAGTGGTGGAGCCGAGGGGTGGGGATGGCAAGAGCCACGAGGGGAGGTACTGTACATGGTTGGATCACAGGAGCAAGGCCAGGAGGGTGTGGGAGGACGAGTCCAGTGCTCAGCCAGGGCTGCCTGCTGTGACCCAGAATGCATATGAGTGTCTCCTATGAAGGATTCACATCTGAGTGCCTGGCGCTGAAGGCAGTGTGATGTCCAGCTCAGGGTCTATAATGAGGCATGAGGTATGACATGGACACTAGCATTCTGTGTCCCTAAAGGGAAACTGACCTTTGTTAAGAACTCTTCCGGCCTAGCATGGTAGCTCCAGCCTGTAATCCCAGCACTTTGGGAGGCCGAGGTGAGGGGATTGTCTGAGCCCATGGGTTTGAGAACAGCCCGGGCAACTTGGTGAGCCCTCATCTCTACAATAAAAAAATTAGTCGCGCATGGTAGTGTGTGCCTATAGTTCTGGCTACTTGGAAGGCTGAGGCGGAAGGATCACCTGAGCCCAGCAGGTTGACGCTAGGGTGGCTGTGAGTGTGCTACTGTACTCCAGCCTGGGCGACAGAGTGAAACTCAAAAAAAAAAAAAAAAAAGAACTCTCCAACGCTAATGCTGATTTCAGCCTTAGAACAACTGTATGATATTTGGGTTATTTCCCTTTGAAGGTTAAAGAAACTGTGATTTTTAAGTGATTTAACCAAGGCCACACACTTGATCAGTGGGGTTGTTGAGATTTAAATCCAGGAACTTCTAATTCCAAAGCCTGTTCTCTTGAAACTGTCTTCAGCTAAAGTCAGACATTTTGTGAACTAAGATCCTCAGAGTACTGATGTGAACCAGAGTAAAAGGCAGACACCCAGGGGAAGACAGTCACCGGGGATGGCTGTACCGCATTCCTTTTTGGGGAGGCAGGGCTGAGGCAGATACCCTTTGGTATCCATGGCCAAGCAGGGCCGAGCAAGGCCACTACATTGCTTCTGCAGATGTGTATGGATGGAGCCTCTGTTGTATGCAAGGGGCTGTGCCAAGACCTGGGGATGTGGAATTTGACAAAACCAAGTTTCTGCTCTTGTGGGTTATGTATTCTAGTGTGGGGAGACATCATTATTAATAATTGTAAAGAGAATTTAAAAATGTATAAAGTAGCCACGTGGAAATTTTGTGGGCATGAAGAATGTGCACAGCTCCACACATAGGCAGGAGGGTTCCAGATGATGGTCACGAGGGGGCCCAGACACTCCGGACCTCAGCTGCCTGGGAAGAAGCCACATTGCGCTTTCCTCTGAAGAGTTAGGATGGATACAGATACTACCCCTTCTTTTGTCCTAATAATTGGAAAAATTCATTCAGAGTTCCCATAGCTTATGGAAACTTGAAGTGAGTCGGGGATTGAGGTGGAGCAGATGTCAAGCCTTTGGTCTTCAGCAGACCAATGTTCTCCCATCTGCCGTGGCCGCCCTTGGCCTTCCATCTCCCGCCCTCCCAGGCACCAGCTGACTTCTCTTTCTCAGCCTGGTCACCATACCCCTCTCTTGTCCATGCAGCACAGGGGAACATTCGGACTAGTTCTTTGTCGATCACTGGTCAAACATCTGCAGGAGGCAGATTTTGAGTGCAGCCTTTCCTGCCAGAACATGCAGTTGTGAGAGCTGATGGTTACAAGAGGGAAGGGACAGACATCAGACAGGGAGAAGTGGCCTGTGTCAGATGCTTGGGTGAGCTCCGTGTTCTGAGAGGTGGAGGCTGGTTGGTGGTGCTGGAGATAGGGCGGACATGTTTTCAACATGTGCAGCTCCAGGGCTTGAGACTTGTTTACTTGGTAGAAGAGGCAACCGGTCCCAGCAGAATCGGCCCACATGATTCTTCCCTCCTTGGCCAGTCCTGGACGCCTGGCCCACCCAGACTGCGGAGGCTGCCATCTGCTGCCAGGGATCTGAAGTTGCACAAGGATGAGGTAGTGTGGTTGGGGCCCTCTGGGAGGAGGTGACTTGGGGAAAGTGGCGTTTATGTTGCTTGGTGTCAGGGAGCCGGCAGATCTAGATTCTGGTCCTGGATCTATTGGTAAAATCTCACTCACTTTCCCCCTTTGGGCCCCCAGTTTCATCATCTGTGAATTGAGAGGATTGAACCAGAATCTCTTTGGAGGTTTCACCTCTAACCTGGGTCCTCACTGGATGTTCATGGGGGTGTTTCTTAGCCAGAAATTCAGGATGAGGAAAACTGGATGTGAGTGACCACAGGAGAAGGGAACCTGTCTGAGAGCAGCTGAAGAAGCACTGTTGGAATTGGTGTGGGTGGGTGCAGACAGTTTTCGAAGTACCTCCCAGAAGGAGGAGAGAATGGGCTGGAGATGGTATGAGGGTGGTTGTTGATGAGGATCCTCCAGATGGCAAAGGACTCTGCTGCGGGTTCCCCACAAAAGACTTGTCAGAAGTGGGGCACATGGGAGCAGCTGGGGGAGGGATTGCTGTGCTGCAGGTGGCTTACTCAAGAGACTTTGCTGTGGGAAAGATGCTTTGTCTTGTTGGGCCCTAAATCCTTGGGAGAAATTGACTCTGTGGATTAGGGGAGTGCATCTGTTCCAGGGCCTTTGCCCCTTGCTGTCAGGAAGTTTTCCTTTGTATTTAGTCTTCTTTTTAAAAATGTGGTTGTTTAAGGCCTTCTATTAAAAAACAAAACTAAATTTTTAAAAACAATACAGTGAAAGAAAGGAAAAATAAAAAGTATCTCAAAG